AAATAGACGACATAAATTATGTCAGTGGCATATCTACAAGAATTTTTCTTTGAAAGTTATTTGTGGGGTGGTTAATAAGAGAATAAGCAATTTTTTCTATAAATGCACAAGCAAATATATCACAGTTTCGCTTCAATAACCCTGTTAAACAAAACTGATAACACCTCAATAATATTAAAATAACATCGGTAGTGCCAATAATACTGCTCGAAGGACCTTGCAAATTCACTGTGATTCGACTTCAATGACCCCGCAAAATAATTCTAATAACACCTCAATAACACTAAAATGAAAAAATGTGAACATTATCAAAAACACTGCCTCGAGAACCATGCAAATACATTGCGATTCCATTTTAATAACCCTGCAAAACAGCTCCAATAACACTGGTGAACAGTGACAATAACATTGAAATAATACCAATGTGTTTTTAACAGTGTTATTGAGGTGTTGTAGGCATGCTATTAACATTATATTGGAGCATTATCCTATTTTTATTGGTGTTATTGGAGTTTTATTAGCGTGTTATTTGCATTATATTGGAGAATTTGACATGTTTTGAGTTGTATTATGGTGTTATCGAAGTGTTATTGAAGTATTATTGAGGTTATGTGGTATTATCTTTGGATTATTTCCTTATTATTGAAGAGCTCACTAAACATTATGATGACCAATAAACCAAAACACTTAAAGCAGTTAAAATTTTATAAACCATTGATGGAGTTAGAGGAAATCTAATAGATTATCAATTATGTTTGAAACATCACAAACAAGCATACATCATAGGCTATTTCAGCTCTAAATTTTGGCATATGTCTGCCAACCTAATTTATCACTTCAATCAATTTTATTTATTTGTACAAATGTTTTCATATATTTACAAACAAAAACACCACAGTCAATGCCATTACTTTTGCACTGGAATGCCTTTGGCCATGAAAATTGGCCATTTGGACGGATCACTCCTAAAATCTATCTCTCCTGACATCCTTCACAAAAAAAATTAATCTGCAATGTTTAATTTTGAATTAAATTGTTGACAATGGGGGCAATGCTAAAATTGATTGAAGAATAATTGAGCCAGTCTTGAGTGTGCTTACAATGTTGCGGGTGATTGTCAAATCAATTTTGTTGGACAAAGAGTCATATAATCTTCATTTGTGCTACTTCAATTCTTCAACTAGCAGTGTCCAATGTTGTTTATTAATGATAGAAAGTAAAATAATCTCTAGAGTTTTAACTGTTCTATTCTTAATGTGATTAACAAACATTGTCATGTTTTTATCTCTGTACAACTACGTAAAATGGCACGATCATTTATCATGGTGGAAGAAGTTAACTTTACTATAATTTACTTGAAGATACATAGAGGTATGATTTATAGAATGTTGGTGATTTATTCCTCTTATTCTCCGTTATCATTGCAAAATCATCTACATGCTCATTTGCAAGCCATTCATTATTCAGTATATCATCAATGCTACATCGACTTATTACAATATGTCTATTATTAATTAAAAGATCACCCATGCATTGTTAAAACATAATATTTATGACATTTAAATATAAAAGTAATACAAAACATAAAAATTTAGAATTTACTAACTTATCATTGTATTTTGTACAATATTGATCGATTACTTTCTGCATGTGAAGTGGTATTTGATCTCTAACAAAATAATTCATAACTAATGATGTTGGGCGGGCCTATAAAACCAAATACACTTCATATATAATGCCAAAATAAAGTTATGAGAAAAAATAAGAAAGAGTTATATTTAATGCCTTTCAAGGGAAGTCATCCACAAGTATAACTTCTCGGGGTGTGTCATGCTCATCTTCCTCTTTATTTAAGGATTTAATTAAATCGTTTATTATTTGATCTACTGTATCAACTTCTTCAGTGTTTGTTGATAATTGTTCCTTAACTTTATTAGTTTGTACATGTAATTGGTCATCACCAATGACTGAAGTAACTTCAGCTATTGTTATTTGATGTTGCTTTGCTTTCTCAATATGTATACTTGACGGGTCACGAACAATGAAAAAAGTCTCTAAACCTTTTGTTATTGTTGGTTTTTGTAGAACAATTTCATCCCTTATTGTTTGTCCTGATTCAATATGTACAGGTGATTTTATTATCTCCTCTAATTGTTCAATTTGTGCAAGTAAATCCTCTAATGAACGTTTGGGATGTTGCTTCACTTCTTTTATTGTTTTTCTTCTCTTTAGCTCAAATGTAGTATATGGGGAACTTAATTTCCTCTTTCTTCTATTTTCTTTGGCCTTTACCCTTTGGATTAAACTAACAAGTGAGGATTCTTTTGTCCCTTCTTTTGTAAAGTTCCCGTTGGTTTACTTATTTCTTTTTCTTACATTTGTAGCATCAGTCTTAAGGATTGTCAGTGTGTTTTCTAAATTATAAAAATGGATTGTCACTGTGTTCTCTAAATTAGAAAAATTGGAATTCATTGATTCTTGAAATTCAAAAAAGTTTTTTCTTGATTTATATGTATTTGGATTATTTCTATTAATCTTTTATTAGGGTCTGTAGATGTTGGTTGAGGGTTAATTTCACAGGGAACTAGGGGATCAACCTCATATGAATCAGGTAACTGTGATGTGGAGTAAGTTTCAAGGCGTGGGATGAGCATGACTGAACTAGATGGTCCTTCAACTGGAGGGGACAACAATTGGTGTTCGCCATCTTTCAAATCCAAAAAAAAAAAAAACCATAAATCTACTATGAATTTTAGAAAAACAATGTTAAACCCAAGTAAACCAATAATTAATTTCAGAATATCAATGTACATGCATGAATAACTCTTGAATAACACTTACATATCACCTCAATAAAATCTAAACCATAAATCTTTTAGAAACAACTAAATAACATAACAATAACACCTAAATAATATCATAATAACACCTACATAACAATACAATGACACCAAAATAACAATATAATAACACCACAATAACACCTTAAAAGAATGATGAGATAAAAAACTTTTATGTACAAGAATATTACATGAAATATTCTTGCTCTAGTAAACAAATACAACATGAATAATATAACAATAATTTTCTAAAAATGGAAAATGTTATATGATGAGATAAATGACTTACTTGTATAGGGTTGAGCCCCTTAAAGGCTTGATGAATATGTGTTGCCTTCCAACTCACGTTTGTTGGATATCTCAACATGCGAGGTCTAGCCTCAGGAGCAGTAGAAATGACAAAAAATGTGTGCTCATAAAACCATAGCTGTGTAAAAGATAACTCATAATTTGCTATGACAAAAAAAGAAATTTTTAAAAACATATAAAGGACATTAACTGTTACGAGAAACATAGAATCATTTATATATCCCAGTGGCTGATTCCACCAAATTTTTTAGGTGACAACATTCACTTGCTCGGTGAGGAAGTCACATACTGTACAAAACAATTAAATGAAGAGAAAGTATGTACATTCTCACCAAATGCGTAAAGCCCTTTGAGCACACTAAAATTATTAGAAAAAATAAATATGATAACAAAAGCTTAATAAATATTCATCAAAGGGAATATAACACTCATCAGTTAAAATCTTTACTAGGATACTCTTTATTTATCTGACATCTACATCACAAGAGGGAACTTTATTCTAATTTACTGTTGATCCTCTGTTGGGCATGCCTATCAGCAAAACAACCTCATCATGATCAAATCTTAACTCTTTCTTGCCCATTTTGAATATCATTCAATCAAAATCTCAGCATTTCAATATGTGCAGTGTCGGGACATTGTCTTGAGGATATAGAGGGAGATAAAAAAGATTATCTAAATTCATTGCTTTCAATTTATTTCAGGTCTTCTCATATATGGTAGGTTGGACCTTATCAAGAGCATCTCTTACTACAGATGGTTGACATCTATAATTTAAGGTCCTTGGGTTCATAAAACTATATAAATACAATAACAAATTATCATTATAACAACACTAACATAATACCAACAGAATTACACAAGAATAGTGTGGTGTTATTGTTGTGTGATATTGATGTTTTTTTATTGTTATTTTTTATAACAACACAAACATAATACCAACAAAATTACACAAGAATAATTTGGTGTTATTGTTGTGTGATATTGATGTTTTTTTATTGTCATTTTTTATTATTTGAGTGTTGTTTTGATGTTATTTTGGTAATATCTCGGTGTTATTATGGTGGTATACGTGGTTTTATTTAATTGATGCTATGGTATTATTGTTGTTTGATTTAGGTTTAATTTTTGTGTTATTTTTGAGTTGTTTTAGTATTATTTTTGGTATTTTCATGGTGTTATTGTGGTGTTAGTGATGTATTATTTAGCTGAAACCATGATGTTATTGAATGCAAGAAAAACTACAAACAAGTTTACCTGAATGACTTTTGCTGGGTCATAGCCACTTCAATGTCCCTTTTCTTAGACTCATTGACTTCCTTCTTCTTACGCTCTTTCGTTACCATCTTCTTAGATACTTCAATTTCCATTTTCTTAGCCTCTTCAATTTCATTTTTCTCTTCCATCGTTAGCTTGCTTCAAATGGAAAAAAGAACTACATGAGTTCGCATTGTAAACCCTAACCCCTTACGCGAAGTGTTAACCACACTAAATCTTAAGATCAAAGGACTTACATGACACTAAAGAGGGACTCTGATCAGACGCAATGCGAACCCTAGCTCACGAAATGCAACAATCGAAACCCTAGTAGATGACGAACGACAAAATTGGAGAATGAAGAGAAGCACAACTATTTTTACATTTCGAAGTAGTAATGCTGACAGTAGAGTCAACACACACTTTTAGTTTTTCGAAGCGTCGAGCAGATTCGGGCCGGGTTGGCTGAAAAATAAAATACTTTTTGATCATTTTTTAGTTAGGGTTGGTAGATACACTTGACAAGTTATTATTGGAGTCTAGACTATATATCAAATTTTTTTTCATAAATAGTCCACATAGACCAAACTCTATTGCTTCAAATCAATTGACGCGGGAGGAAGAGGCGGAACTATATTGCTGTTGTGATTTGTGAGCTTGCCGGGGAAGGAAGCAGGGGCCATGGGCGAAAACCTAATCACCGGTGCATTGGATATCGACACCTTCGACGTAGAAAGTGTTCGGAGGTCTCGTTTAATCTGTACATTGCTTTCTGTCTAGCTTCACTAGTTTTCGTCCATCCAGTTCCCCCTTATGCCGACAGTTTTCGCAGTCGCTTGAAGGAGCTCTCCGCGACACTCGACGATGCTCTCAGTTCCTCAGGGGATTCTATTCTGGAGCCAAATAGGTTATTGGAGGACTTCGGCCGCAAACTGCTGGTGAAACATTGAATTCTCTAATGCAAATGCGTTTCTTTTTGCTTGGATTTGACAGGCATTTACATTGAATGAGCTTGCTCTTTGTTATTGCAGGTACTCAGCGAAGACCATGATGTCGAGGCTTTAGGGCCGGCTGATTTAGGCAAGCTTCAGTTTGACTATCTTTTTTTTTATTATTGTGCGTTTTTTTAATTCTCTCTCTCCCTCTCTCTATATATATTTGAAGTTAGCTTCAACGTAGTATTTTGAAGTACCTACTATTGTTTTTTTCTCCTTCCGCATCTGTTCAGCAAAACGCAGTGTATGTAAAGGGTTTTTGTGGTTGATTGTGTCGTTATTGTTTGTTTTTTGCGGTTGAATATGCTATTTTAGTTGTTTGTTATTCTTCAAGCACACTTTGAACACAAACTTACAGTGGATGAAATTTGAAATATCTCACTCTTTCTCCGATTATGAGCCAGGATATGAATTTAACTTTTTTGGGGATACATTAATTTTTTCAGAAGCTTACATCGAGCAGTTAAAGAAGGATTTAAAATCAACCGAGGAGGAAAACGTGAAGATTTATGGAGAAATTGATACACTTCAAGCCAAAGTTTTATCAGGTTTTTCTATTCCCTCCTCATTCCTAGCTCCCATTCCCATTTGTGCCACCGCATACCCTGTCAACCTCACATTTTTTTTAGTGTGGGCTCGGAGGCGTATGCATGCATGCTTATTCAGACAATTCTAATCTATTTTAATTAACTATGCTTTGTCCAGATTCAACTAACTTGGGTGGTGATATTGACGCGTTGTCAACCTTACTGGACTTTGTTGACTCAAAGGTCGGTTTACTCTCCCCAGAAGGTTTTATAGCATTCTTCTTTGTTGCAGGGTTTGCCTGAAGTCCATGGGACCTTAATGCGATGTCCCTTGGCATGTGTACATTGTATGGAATTTCCAACAGTAGCTCACTGCTTATGTTAACTCATTACTAATTCGGCAGATGCTCAATTTTAATCAAAACAAAGCCTTTATTTGTGCCTATATGCAAATTAATATTCAATTTAGCTCCAATCTGCAATTCCTGTAATCCATCAACAAATATTTAACTTATATGTTGCAGAAAAATATCAGCATTTGCGGGTAGCAGCTAATGAGCAACTACTTAAGCAGTATTCCTAAATAATGTTATTGCAAAATAAGAAAGAGCTTTTTTCAAGCTAACATTGCCTAAAGAAAAGCCAAGATCAAGGAAACTGGGTTCTTTTTCTCACTTTGCACATCTATATCTAATCTGCAGCTAATACCTATATAGCCCGATGACTAGTTTATGAATGAAAACATATCATGGTTAGAGGTATTGTCAACCCCCTGTTATGTTTTTGGCTATATAAAGAAATTATTTGGAGCCGCCTTAATCTGTGTTCTTGAACTCAATGTAGATATAAACTTTGTTCATTCTTTTTCTTCAGTGGATGATATTTGCAGTCAAGTTGGCATACTTTTTCTCTTGGTGAGAACTTTAACGAGTTTCCTGTTCTCTGTAATATTATTCACCGATATCCAGTCTTATTTGCCTTACCACTTGCTGCGACACTTGTTATTTTGGAATTGATAGATATCTTGTGGACCATTACATCAATGTACATGCTTGAAATTTCAATGTAGTGTCAAGTGAAGGAGTCCTTATATTTGAGGAATAAATTTTGTGGTTCTTATGTTTCTTTCGTGAGAGCAAAAAACCAATGGGAGTTGGCTTTAGCCATTGTTTAATGCATAGGTTGATTTCTAGAAGCTCATCATCTATGATGGTGTGGCTACCATTGCCAAATGTTTTATAGATTAATTATCAAATCTTCATGGCCATCTTTGGATCCAAATGAACTTCACTTCCTGTAATAAAATAGCACATGTATTGCTGAGACGACTTCAAGTTGAGCATCCTTGAGAGCCTAGGTTGTAAAATTTCTGTTCTTTAAAGCTAGTTGCATGTGTTAACATTTCCATTTTTTTTTTTGAAATGATCAACATGCTTCTCCTCCTCGCTTAAGACAAAATTGTTTTTGACATAGCTTCTTAGAGGTGGTGAGAAGTATCATGGGATCATTATTAGCGCTATTTTTTTGAGCTTATCAAATCTTGAGAGGGAGCCCAACTTGGATTCCTATTCATTTTAAACCATCAAAGTGCTTTTAAGCTTATGGAGAAATAATTATTCATCGTCATCTTCTTTTTGCATAGCTACCTAGTTGAGGCACTCACTTTTGCTTTATAGGAGAGCAATTCTTTAAATTAAGAGTGTGTTTGGGGCAGCTTATCAGCTGCGGTGGCGTTTTCAGCTTATCAGCTGCGGCGACGTTTTGAAAACGCTGCCTCACCATTTGGATCCAACATTCAGACAATGTTTGGGAAAAAGACATTTGGATTTTAAGTTAAAATTGGATTTTGAGTTAAACGAGCGCCCCCGACAGGATGAACCATGCGATCAACGTTTTGGGAAATATTTTGACGGTGTTGCCCTATTTCCGTATTGTTTGCCCTAACCTCTTCGCTCCTCTCGCCCGTCTCTCTCGACCCTCAGCTGAGGTTCTTGATGTTGATTTTTTTCAGCTCCCCATCCTCAACATTCAAAATTCCCATCCTCGCCCTGTTCATGGTCGGAAGCTTCTACAATGCCGCCCATCTCAAATCCAATTCCTCGTTGTTGCCTCTTTCGTTCGGGGATTTGGAGAAGATCGAGTCCTCTCCGCTTCTCCATAATGTAGAGTGGCTTCCGCCTCTCTAAAGGTACAGATCCACAGTGCCCATTTTCCTTTTCTTTCTGTAGAACGAGGAGGGAGAGGGAACAATCGTTTAAATGGAGCAGGAAAAAAAAAGGGAAGATTTACATACCTACGACCAAATACCTCTGTATTTACATTTCTAACACCTAAACTTCTACTTTTATATACGTGTCATCTTAAAAATATTTATTATGACTTTTTTTTAAAAATTAAGGTTGATATTTTTAATATAATATTAAATATTTAGATGTTATAAATGTAAACTTTAGATTTTAAATATGCAAATAACTTAGAATTGGGTGGTGTGTATGTAAATGTCCCTGAGGCATCTCCCTACCAAAAAATAATAAAATAGTTTTGAAATTTAATATAATATGAAATAGTTTGGAAATTCTGCACGGGCAGAATGATCATTTATCTAGAAACAACTGCAAATCAACTGTTTTGTAACGCACAAATCAAACAGACAGTCAGCTTATCCGGACACGCTTCTGATTTGCAGCTTATCAGCAGATTATTAATAATTTACAGCTGCCCCAAACAGTCCCTAAGTTTTTTTTTCCTTGTCTTTAACCTTTGTGGTTATAACTTTTATGACAGTCTGATGTTTTGTTAGCAAAATGTTTGTAGTCATTGACTCTTTATGAGCGAAATTTTTGCAGGCCGACTCTTTGTCAGCAAAATGTTTGTATCATATCTCATAAACCATAAATGGCTTAATATTTCCATTGATTTGATATTCATCGTCATTCTAAGCCTATTTTATGCTTTAGTGGAGAGTGGAGGGAGCAATGCCACACTAATGAAGCTACAATTTTTTAATAGTGCTTTGAAAGAAGTATCAAAGCAAATAAAGTGGAATTTTCTCTCTATGTAGTGCTTCTTAAAATAGTGGTGTAAGAGGAAGGACTTTGGGTCTATTTGGGGTGACTGCAGTTTTTTAAAAAGGTGATTGTAAAACTCTAGTGGAGAAAACTTCTTTGAAAGCTGCGATAGAAATTATAAATATATATTTTTTCAAAAAAATGAGCCAACTTCTTTCTTACAATCAGGTTAAAAAAACTAGTTCCCACCATATAAATTTCCAGAAATCAACAATAAAACAGTTTCCCAAATAGAGCTATGATAGTGGCCTGAAATGCAAAACAAATAGAAATTTGTCCCAAATGGACCCTAAAGGGTTCTTTGTGCTTGGTCATCGAAGCAATGAATCCTTTGAGAAACACTTCATTCTTACTCAAATATTGAAATTTGAGATACTAACATCAAAGTTTCTTAACAATAATGTGATTTGATAAGATTGGATTCTTTTAAAGCGCATTATTTTTTACGTTGACATATCAGTTAATTTCATTTAGTTGAACCTAAGAGGTGGTAATCATCATTTAAGTGATCACAGATAATTTTGGGTTTGTATAGCCTCCTTCATATTTTGCTTTACGAATAATGCTTCACATTGCCATGGTTTTTGTTAAGTTTTCATTGATGTATATTGATTTTTTTTGGACATCATAAGAACTTCATAAATTCTTTATTATGATTGTCCTTTGGGGAGGTTGGCCAAGACATCACAGTCCACGGTTTGATGATCTTTGAGGTGTATTGGAAGCTCGGGACATAGCATTGTCCTTGATTCTTATAATTCTTCCTTTAATTTTGTTTTTATTTAGCTTTTGAGATTGGACCTATTTTCCACCTTTTATTGGAATTGTGCCACATAGTTGGGGTACCTATCTTCTACAGAAATGGCTTGTGAGTTTGTTTCTTTTTTGAATTCATCAAAGTCATCTATGTTGCTACAAAGGGAGGAACATTTGATTTTAAAGTTCTAACTTTGACTCAACTTTGGATTACTCATTTGGGAAATGAAGTTTTTTCTTTGAGTCAAAGCAGGGTGATGCTGTGTAACATGGTTTTTTCCTTTTGAGACTAATAGGATTCTTCTTGAGTATCCTCTTATTCGAATTAGTGGGTAGCGCGAGAACTCCGTTGAAGTTCATCTACCTTGAAGGCTGTGACTAAGCAAGTTTCTTTGGGAATGTCGTTTACTTTTAATTGTAGATCAAGCTAAAGATTTGACATGTGTTCTTATATCCTAATTGGTTCGTATTCATTTAGGGAGTTGATGAGTTTTGGTCTCAACCTCTAGGGAGCTGTTTGGCTGCAAGGAGTATTTAAGTTAAATATGATTTAGTAAATCTGGTAAATCTGAATTTATTAAATCCAAATATCATTAAATCCAAAATATTGGTTGGTTCAATTAGGTTAAATCCAGTTAAATCCATTTGAGGTGTTTGACATAAATCTATTTGAAATATTGTTTTCCTGTGCTAAATCCGTTAAATCCAACTAATAAGTGGATTTAGTAAATTTAGATTTAATAAATGGAACAAGCAAAAATTGGATTTAACTTAACGAAAGATTTATCTAACTTATTTATGATGTTTGACTAACTTAAATCCTGTTTAAAGTACGTACCAAACGCCCCTTAGTTTTCTCAACTAATTCTTTTGGCTTTTGAAGCTTTGCGATGATGCAAACCTAATTTTCTCCCAACTCTTAGAGTTGCCCGACAAATTTCTTTCATTTGGTGGGGCATTTTCTATGATTGTCTCCTCATATGAAAGAATCTCGCTGTTGTATGCTTTGAATATATTGATGGATTTGGCCGTCATCGACACAATAACATGATTGAAGATTCATATGTGATATTCACAATCACTATGATATTTGTTGTAATGCCTTGTAATATTGACATACACTTCACAAGTTCAAATTTACGATTCATTTACATGAATTATGAAGCAATTAGTTGAGTTAATATAGTTTTTATTTTAAGGGTTTGTTTGGCTGCCCGTATGATTGAAGTAAATAGGATTTAGGAAATCTGATAAATTCAGATTTATCAAATCGAAATGCTGTAAATTTAAAATAATGTTTTATTCAATTTAAGGTTAAATCCATTAAATTTGGTTTATGATGTTTGACATAAATCCACTTTTGTGACTTTCTTCCTAAGCTAAATCCGTTAAATCCACTTAATAATCAGATTTAATAAA